CCCTAAACCCTAAACCTCAACTTTAGGGTTTTTTGTTTTAATTCCCTGGGATGCTCGGCTCAGCACGGGGTTCTTACCGGGCTTGAGGTTTAGGGTCCAGGTAAGGGGTCTAGCTAGTTAAGGGATATAGGAAGATGTTAGGGTTATGTAGGGGTTGTATAGGAATATTGGAAATTGCCCGAATGTCTGGAGTCTTCAGGAACTTGCAAAACTCGAGCTATCAGGGCCCAAGCCATCGCGATGTCGTTGCTTCCAGCAGCTGCTGCCTGCAACGGGCTTAAGTGCGGATTTCCGAAAACGAGGCTTCCATTTTGAGGTTCTGTGTAGCAAAGACCAAAACATTGGCGGCTGCAGTAGTTTAATGATCCCGTTCTGGAGGATTACATTTTGTGGTACGTAGGGTCAAGGATAGAAACTTCCAAATGCTTCCTGGCCAGACCGTCCGACCAAACCTGGACATAGGAAGCAGTGGCCGTGCCTCAAAATCGATGTGATTTCTGCATCCAGACGCCTTCTTGCAATCACTGCTGTACTGTGAGCAAATTGCAAGCAACGATGCTAGGTGCATTCGCCCTGCATGAAGGGTATAGGTAAGGCATCAAGCAAAGTGTAGTCTGTACCACATAGCTAGTTTCCGGCGGACGTTCATGCCTGGCATCCAGCTGGTTCACCCGCAGCACCTGCAAACACAGCAATTATCTGCAAGCGCAACTGTTTCCTATCCAAGCGAACATGGGAAGCGGAAGCGGTCGGCATGCTCATGCTTTCTTGTGAATGCTGGCGAGCTAAACCCCTCAGGCACTAAGTAAATGCCGAGGATCAATGGACATCTGCTTCAGCCTGAGGTGCCTCCTGGCTGACTTTGGATTCGTTGGCGGTATACCACATGGGTAGACTGAGTTTTTGAAGTGCGCGTTTTTGATGAGCATCCAATCAAGCATGCTCCAACGGCTGGGTTGCTGTGAAGGAACTTAAATTAAGTTACCATAATGGGTATAAATGGTAAATAATAGGGTTTCCCCAATATAGTAACTTAATTTAAGTTCCTTAACAGCAACCCAATCAAGCATGCTCCAACGGTTGACTGCAGCTCCTCAAAGTCCACTCTTAACACGTACGCCAGCGCAACATTGGGGCTTCTGCCATGAGCTTCAACAAGCTGTTGCTACAAAAGATCACACCACCTAAAAAGTAGGGCCTGAATGGAAGAAGTAAGCATCCTCAGCTTTTCAAAATCACCTTCGTAGTGTTTGGTGGTTGGACCGAGCACCATGATCTTCTTCTATGCCGTCTGTCATAAATACCTCGATTGCTGCCACTATTCCACTGTAGATGTGTGCTTGCACTTGCTTCGAGAATAAACTTGAGCCAACTGCTACATGGCCAAGCATCAATCAGCGCGATCTTCAACTCATAAACTTCGTCCCAATTAGTCTGGTTAAAACCATGTGTATCTATGTAAAGGTGTATGCACGTGATGTTCAGTTCTTTGCTCGTGTACCCTTGCGGTAGACACAGCGCAATGCAATAAGCATGATGAAGAGCCTCATGATCAAGCCTCGGCATCTTATGAACCTTCTAAGCCTGCAAGGCGAGACTCGCAATGTAGCAATACGTATAGCAATATATATATATATGTGTATATATGTATGTATGTATATGTATATATAGCACTATCGTGATACAGAAATATGGTACTACAGGAAGATGGCAATAATGTATATAGTAATAAAGTGATTAGTTGAATTAACGTCACACAGCAATATAATACTATGGTGTAGTAACAATGAATAATAGCCCTCTAAACCCTACGCCGTTGGCTTACCCTAGTCTCGTCTCGCAAACGCAGCGCATGCGCCCTCGCGCAAGCCCGTGGCAACTGGAATTCATGGCGTTCCGGCATAGGTCAAGTTGGGTCCCCATATCTGGAATGCCTTCACCAGGATAAAATGCAGTCGCCTGTTGCCTTCCTAGGGCCCACATGCTTCGGAGCATGCAATAGACAGAAAAAACATTTACCAAACCCTTTGTAGTAGTCCAGATGTGGACAAATTCCAAAGACAGTCTTGGCGCTGCCTATGTTTCGTGTTTCCAAAGCAGACCGCATCCAAATAGAACCCGGCCCTTCGCTTGTTCATCATACATATAAGCATGCAAACAGATATACACATTCATGTATATCTCACAAAAGAAAAGACGTATTCCACACACAGAAATATATATATATATAAACAGACGTACGTACCCCTCTCTCTCTCTCTCAGGTCTTCCTCCAAGGTGATCTTTGGGGCTTCAAGGCCTCTTTTGCTGAAACTGGCAAAGTGGAGTCCTCCTTGCTGTGAGACATGCGCGTCAGGCATGACGTCTGCTAGCTTATAAAAGGGTGTTACATCCAGTTTTTATAGGGTTTACGTTTTAGGGTTTAGGGTTTAGGGTTTATAGAAGGTTTATATACTGCAGTGATGGTATGCGGGGGGCCAAAGAGCTTAACAGCTTGTCAGGATCTATTCCGGGCCGGTCTGGGAGGTATCCTCACTCTCTTCAGAAGCCAGCACCTCCAGGGTCTAGCAAAGCCAAATGGGGTGGTTCAATTATATTGGGGTTATATAGGGATAATGGAAAAGAAAATGGAAACTACTATATTATATTGGGGTTATATAAGGATAATGGAAAAGAAAATGGAAACTACTATGTTATAATAGGGTATGTATTGGGGATATATAAGGGTAAATATTGGGATAATGGAAAAGAAAATGGAAACTACTATGTTATAATAGGGTATGTATTGGGGTTATATTGGGGTTATATTAAGTAATGTTTTTTGGGTGGTTGAACCTAGTAAGATAATATTCCTTATAAAAAAAAACTATACCCCAAAAAGAGGATATAATCTTACTCTTGGGTACCATAGTATCCCCAAATAAGATACTACTCAAATGCTGGAGAGCTTGCACAGGGAAGCCATAAACAGGGGCACCCGAATATAGACCTCCAGAAAGACAGCCCGAACTTTGGGGAACCCCATATTTGTCATGCTTTCCACTAACTTCGGGCCGAATTCCAAACCGACTGCGTTTACGTGTGTGACAAGGGCTTCACTGGTCGAAACGGAGGCCTGTCGGACTGCAACCACCTGCCACAGACAGCAAACGTTGCACTTTGAATGCTGGGATTTGTGACGGGGCCCAGAGCACCGCGCAGCACAGCTTGCAAGTCACTTAGCCACCAGGGCCATAAGTCATAAGTGCAGGAATTAGTGTAACCCAGACCCGTGATTAATAAACCTCCTCTCCCAGGAAGAAGGATTATGATAGGGATCCTATTATTAAGGCCCTTAAACGGAGAGGGTTTATTAATCCGGCGTCTACATTAGTGTAGTACCACAGTTCAGGTGTCTCCGTGTTATACAGGATGCCCTGCCTTAGCAGCAACTTCAGCGAGTCGGTGCGGGGTCCGCGGCTGTTGCTGGCGCAGGATTGCAGGAACATGCATAAAAAGCATCGCATGAGCCATAGTCTAAACTCCTTCAAGGGGGGTTATATAGGGGACTATTTTTTACCAGTTATTAATGGGGATACTAGGAGTGACTGTAGCTCACATGGGTGTTGAACTAAAACCCTTCATCCCGAAATGACCATCTTCGCAAGACAAACTCCTTTCGCGGTGCCATCGCGAAACTTTCGCGAAGTCATATCTTGCTATGCTGGTGGGTATCTATTTCTCTTACACGCGCCACCTTTAGATCAACCCTCACATAAGCTGTAGTCTAAACTCTTTAAAGAGCATTATATAGGAGATGAGAGAGGGGAGCATTTATTATACGGCTTATCAAGGGGCATATTAGGAGTTTAGACGATATAACCCTATAAAGTAATTTCCATTTGATTTTCCGTTCTCTTGTCAATTTGATTCTCCATTATTGGGGTATCATATCCCTAAACCCTAAACCCTAAACTATTCATAGACCCTAAACCCTAAACTATCATATTTCTATCTATCTCTCTCTCTCCATATCATCCCCACATGCTCCTCATGCAGGTGCCTTTCGTTCAGGTCGAAGGTGACCTGCACTCCCTTCAGCGCCGGCATCTCGGCAGTCCACGCGGTTTAGGGTCTAGGGTTCAGGGCTTAGGGTCTAGGGCTTAGGGATTAGGGTGTAGGGCTTCGGGCTTAGGGTTTAGGAACAAGACCCAGCTGAGAGAGAAGCTAACTGGTTTTTAGTAGGGAAGAAGGGAATATATGATGTAGGGTTTATATGTGGATTAGATTCCCTGACTCCCTACTCAGAACCCCAATATACTATATATATATGTGTACTACAGAAATTCCTGTTTTCTCCTCTATTACGGTATCCCTATATACCCCTATATAACCTAATATATCTCCTGGTATAACGTAGTAATTTCCATTGTCTTTTCCATTATCCGTATATAGCCCAATATTCTACCCCTAAATTCATTTCTTCCCAGCTAAGCGAGAACGTGCAGGAGTAGGTTGAATCAGTTGTTGACATAATAGTTGGTTACATAGGGATAATGGAAAAGAAAATGGAAACTACTACAATAAACCAGGGTGTATATATATATATAGGGCTATCCTTATAAGGTTTAAATGGGGATAATGGAAAGGAAATGGAAATTACTGTAGCATAATGGGGTATGTTGGGCTTCTGAGTCGCCTCTTGATTGTCGCTGGCTTGGAATGACTTGGGCAGCGCTGAGCGAGGAAAGAAAATGTCCTGGCACAGAACAGCTTCTCTCTCCATTAGTACAGTATATGGTAGTTTCCTAAACTTAGGGATTATAGGGGTTATATTGGGGATATATAGGGATAATGGAAAAGAAAATGGAAGCTACTATTTAGGGTTTAGGGTTTCCTTCCCAACACTAGGGGTACCCTTTTCGAGGTCCCCACAGAAAGGATTAGAAGATTTTGGGGTCGATATTGGGGTCTCCCTAATTTGGGAAGCAACCATTTCTATCGGAAACGCCTTGCAGGAGCACTACCCTGCCCACATGAGCTACAGTCTAAACTCCAAGTTAATAAGCCCTATAATAGTCCCCTATATAATCCCCTATATAACCCCGCCTTTAGGAGTTTAGCTTGTGGCCCACATGCTTACATGAAGACTGCTTTGCTGCTGATAATGCCCCTGCGGATTCCCAGGGATTCTGGAAAAGAAAATGGAAACTACTACAACGTACTAGGGTATATATATATATATGTATATATATATATAAATATAGGGTCGTATAGGGCTTATATGATGGAAAAGAGAACGGAAACTACTACATTATACTAGGGTGTATATATATATACACATATATATATATAGGTATAATATAGGGTTATATAGGGTTATGTAGGCGTTGAAGGCCCTGCGTGCTCCTCTGGATGGTTTTCGACGCGGATGAAGCCAAATCCCTTGACGGCATCGTAGTCGCGGATAACACCCATCGGCTGCACCCTTAGATATGCGGTGCTGGATGCAATGTCCGTGCAGGCCAAATGGGGGACACACCGGCATACTTCGGCTGCTAGTATGGGCATCTGCATTTCTGCTCTCCCAAGGCTTCGCAACTTTCATAAGGTCTAGTCGACCCGACCAGTGGCTTAGGCTTTCACCCATGGCCCAAAGGTATGGCAGGCTCGTTTGGATCCACATCCTGTCACGAGTCAGCATAGCATGTAGTCACGGAACCCACGCACGGCGGCAGGAGCACTGCAGTAGCTTTCCCTAAACCCTAAACCCCTAAACCCTAAACCCCTAAACCCCTAAACCCCTGAACCCCTAAAAACCCTAAACCCCAAACACTAAAATTCATCTCGCAGAAGTCAGATCACTCCCTCGAAACATGCCGAGAGTGACATCCTCCACAGGCGCATCCTCTGGGCGTGTCTCCTTACATTGCCATGAGATTTGGCCTAATGGTTTCCAGCCCATTTTCCTGGTTCCAGAGTAGATTCCAATTTCTTTCTCATTCCTTTGTATATATATATATATAGATATATACCCCTATATACCACTTTATAACCCAATGTTGAGCATTATTTAATGACGTTTCCCTAACTAGCATGGAGCCTCCAAAAGAGCATTATACCATACACCACCCAGTAATAGTAGTATAGTAGGAATATGCATGTGCCCGCAGGTTCATTGCCCATGCTGTGTGCTCTGAGTTTCTTGCTTCGGCTTCTTCTGGGAAGTCATCGTACGGGACGTCCTGTGCCAATGCGAACTTGCCCGGACGTGTCCCATTGGCAGCGCACTCATCCAGAATGCTTCGCCTAAGATGTGATCCGCTGGCAGCACAAATGGTGTTTCCAAAATAGGGTGTCCATGGGTGTCCGATATAACCCCCAAATGCCTTAGGATCCAAATTATAGGGTCTCCCTACACCCTGAACCCTAAACCCTAAACCCCAAATAGTAGCTTCCATTTTTTCCATTATCCCAATATTACCCCAATAAAACCCCAATATCACCCCTGAATAATTCATTCTTGAAAGCCCCCCCAATAACAGCAAAAGGAACTACAAACTCTGCGGCGCCTCGCGGGGCTCCTCTTTCGCCTGCCAGAAAGGGGGGGGGGCCTGACGCTGGGTTTAGGGTTTAGGGTTTAGGGATGCCAAAAAATATATAACCCTTGGCGTGTAGTCCCACAAAGGGACCCCTATTTTTGGAAGTCCTAAACCCAAACTGTGTATGTATATATATATATATATGTCATCACTACGGTGGATGGAGGAAATCCTGCACCACTTAATATCCCCAAAATACCGCTATTCACATCATTTGGACTATGCAGGGTTGCAAGGTTTCCTCCATCCGGAGTATCACTCGTTTAACGAGGCCCCTTGATTTTAAGGACCCCCACGACCCTAAACCCTAAGTCCTTAACCCTAGACTCTAAACCCTAAACCTAAAACCATAAACCTTAAACCCTAAACCTTAAACCCTAAACCTTAAACCTTAAACCCTAAGTCCTAAACCCCGAACCTGAAACCCTAAACTGTGTTGAAATGGCTTTCCTTTCGCGCGAGGAGCCCGTGCCTCGGACTCTTCCGGCAACGACTCTGGCAGAGGTTCCTGAACATTTCAGATTTTAGTGCTTAGGGTTTAGGGATTAAGGATTAGGGAGTAGGGTTTAGTGATTAGGCTGTAGGGTTTAGGGATTAGGGTTTAGGGTTGAAGGTTTAGGGATTAGGGTTTAGGGTTTAAGGTTTAGGGATTAGGGATTAGGGTTTGGGTTGAAGGCTTCAGGGTTAAGGGTTTCCGTCTGGCGTTAGGATGAATTTCAATTGTTGTGAGGTCTAGGTTTCGGGGTTCAGATTCTACGGCTCAGGGTTGCCAACAGGTACCCATTATACAAGGGAGAGGAAAAGAAAATGCAAACTCTTCCACGGATCATGCAGGGGCTAGTCTACGTATACCCTCCCTTATTCCCGCGTACGGTATGGATAACCTACTTCTAGCTGTACTTTCTACCCACGCATAAGCCGCCTTCGCAAAGTAATATGGTTATACTTGGGATATAACTACAGGTATGGGTGGGTCACAAATAGCCTAAACCCAATATACCCGTGGTCACCTCCAAGTAGAAATGGGTAGAATCATCGGGGGTGTATGCAGGGACCAGAGCAGGCAATGCAAGGTTTAGAGTACGTAAGCCCTGAACTTTAAAGCCTGCACTTTAAACCTTAAACCGCCTTAAACCCCAAACCCCACGCTTTGAACCCTAAAGTCTGAAACCCAAAC